TTACAGTGGCCAAACACCTCCTAAAAGAATTCATTCCTCGGTTTGGCATTCCAATATACTTAGGCAGTGATAGAGGCACTCACTTTGCTAACCAGGTAATCAAAGAGGTATGTAAAGCCCTCCAAATTGACCAAAAGCTTCACTGTAGTTTTCACCTGCAATCGTCAAGCCGCTGCAAATGTTCAAACTCAACACTGAAGAATAAGATTGCCAAGCTGTGTGAAGAAGCCAGTTTGAAGTGGCCTGACTGTCTTCCATTGGCTCTAATGTCTATGAGAATGACGTCCTCAAAGGTAACAGGTCTCTCCCCTCATGAAGTAATAATGGGCTGCCCCACAAGAATGCCTGCCTCTCCCACACTTTTTGGACAATTGCCTGATATCCATGCTCAGGACACTGTCATGCTAAAATATTGCCGTGCTCTCATCATAAATCCTGTCATTGCTGCACTCCCTAAAGAAACACTGCACCCTTGGCATTCCTTAGTGCCTGGAGAGTAAGTGCTGATCAAAGTATTTCAATGGAAGAACTGTCTGACTCCTCATTGGAAGGGCCCATTCTAGATCCTACTGACCACCAATACAGCTGTGAAGTGTCAAGATCTGCCTTCCTGGGTGCACACATTGCACTGTAAGAAGGTACCCACCCCAGACAAGGACACAGCCAGGCCACATTCCATAGGCCGCTCCAAGGCAAAGACTGAAGCTTTGCCCACCAGGGAGGCAAGTGCTAGTAACTTCTGCCCCCAACCTTCGTACAAACTTCATTCCATGTAACAGAAGGTCAGCACCACTCCATCCCTACCTGCCATCGCCAAGTGATCTACGAAGGATCAATGTAAGCACAATGTTGCCTGAGAGCAACCACTTGTATTTACTTAATTTGTATAAGATAGTTCGTTTTGTAACTTGTGATGTTAAGACCACTGTAAAAACTACCATACCTGAAACACCTAGTTTACCCTTCACCTGTAATGAACAGAGATGCTTGGATACTTTCCCATCGCATAAGCGTAGAGAGCAGTAGCGGGTTCCACTTACCTTTGCTACTGGTTCGGAACTGTGAGCACATGCGCACTTACTTTGCCCATGTGTGACCCTTCTGCACATGCGCAGAACCTTCTGTGCATGCACAGAGTATCTGTGATGATGTCTGGGTGGGTGGCAGAGCGTCCTGCCACTGCAACTACTGGTTTTCCCAAACCAGGGCAAACCGGTAGAAACCCACCATTGGTAGATAGGTTGTACCAAAGGCTTCAACAGATGACCTTACCAAAAACATCTATCTGAATCTGGTTGAATCCTGTCGTGCTGCCCAAACCACACATAAATTAACTGACTGTTGGGTATGTAATTATGCAGGGGGAAATGATAAAGTGGTGTCCATGTTTGCAAAGTCTGTTCCAGACTCCTGGTATCGCCAAAAGGTAGCAACCAGTCATTTTAAGTTTATCCCAGACTATTTTCTTCCTCCCGGCTTTACTAATGTCATAGGAGCTTCCCCGAGTCCCCTTAAAGCATTATCCGCCGAATATACGAGATCGCCTTCTGCCACCGATAGCCTCCCACCAGCCAATACGCTCCCACAGAGGGAGGCTCCTCAGGGTGCCGTCAGTCAAACAATGTCAACTGGCAACACCCAGGGTGAGAGCCTTCTCTGTGGGGGCACAGCCCTCTGGAATGATCTGCCCCTAGAGGTCCGTATGATTCCCGACCTGCGTACCTTTTGCCGCACCCTGAAGACTCTTTTATTCCAACAAGCCGGGCTGGCCTAATAGGGATTTTTAAATTGAGTGTTTGTTAGTTTTTAAATTTCGTGGGCCAAATTTTATATATTTATTTTTAAATTGTTCTTAAATTTTGTGGTTTATATGTGTTTTAATATGGCTGTACACCACCCTGAATCCTTTGGGAAAAGGGTGGTATAGAAGTTCAATAAATAATAATAATAATAATAATAATAATAATAATAATAATAATAATCCCTTTGTAAAGGAGGCATAGGAGGGTATTGTTTTGAATCTGCAGGCATTCCTACCAGAGATCATGCTATAACTATTGTAGGATACAGCCGTTGTACTTTTACCATTAAAGCCACTGCTTCCTGGCAGTCATTTCCTGGTGCAACTATCATCCATCCATGTGACTTTGATATAACCTCAGAAGCTTACAAACAGATTGAATGGTGTCTTCCTTCTGAAGGAGACTCCTGCGAGTACTCTCTCTGGCACAAATATCCCCGCTTTGAACATCAATTACTATTTAATAAAACATCTATCAACGCAGGAATGTATAAAATAATATGGAGTAAGCCACAGACCGAGTGGCTGTTAGAGCCAGTCATGACCACGTGCTGTTTTCACCAAAACTCAACTGAATGTGAATTTGTTATCTGTAATGACAAGGTTAAGATGGCACGAAATAAAAAGAATGATCCACTTCCATACCTTAAGCTCATTGCTAAAACGTGGAAGGAGGCCTCCATTGAAGAAGTTTTTGTTTTTGCACCAGCAAGTTTTGTTTTCGGCCTTACTGTCCCCCCACCACTCTGACCTACATTTCATTTGTGGCAATTCAGCATATCGTAGGCTCCCTCCCGGATGGAAGGGTAGATGTTATGTTGGTACTATTTTTCCTAGCCTGTTACTCTTGTTTCAGTCTCAAGATCTTCATAGTCCTACATCACCTACCCCCTCCCCTGTAAGAAATGTGACACACTAGCAGATGCCACATCTCTGTCTAGCGGGTGGAATCGGTTTTTTGGAACTCTTATTCCCCAGCTAGGTATCAATATGCTGTGGGATCAGTGTAAAAGGTTTTCTCTCCTTCTTGAAACAACGGGCAATACTACCACAGTCAGGTTTGAAATAATTGGGGCCAAAATTTTTGCTATGAGAACTACAGTCTTGCAGAACAGATTAGCTCTTGATATCATGCTCGCAAAGAAGGGAGGAGCTTGTAAGCTTATAGGCTCCTCATGTTGTATGTTTATCCCTGACGGAAATCGCAGCTTATTTGAAAATGTCAACAAACTCCATCAAGCTGTAAAAAATTACAAGGAAGGACCTATTACTCCCTTTGGATCCTTTGACAATGAGGGTTTTTTTAGAGCACTTTCGGGCCTATTTACAGGCATGGGGGGATTTGCTTTTTCAAATAATATTTGATAATATTTGATAATATTTTTATCAATATTATCTATTATGTTTTTGCTATGCATTATCTTTGTGGTAATCAAAAAATGTATACCCATCATAGTCCCAAGCCCTGTGCCAGTACCTCCTATGACTATTTCAGCCCATGCCACTATAAATGAATCTAGAGATTCCCCTCTGATGGAAGTTGGAAGAGTGCCGTCTATGGGATCAATCGCATCCCAGACCTCTAGACTGTCCTCTCAGTATATGAGAAAAGATGAGCACTTCGCAGACAGATTGAACAAATAATCATATATTGCTTTGTTGCAGCCGAAACATCACGAATTAAAGTAACATTCCTCCTTTATCTTAAATGAAGGATGACTAATTAATGAAGGATACAAATTAAATAGCTTATGCTAATATAATCAATTATTGGTGTTGTCCTAAAGGTCAAAGAGGAGGGACTGTGAGGGGAGGAAACTGGGTTTTGAATTTGTTAAAACTATATAGGCCCTCAAGATGATAGTAGGCCTCAAATGACTTTCAATATATTAAAGTGTCATATAGAATGATTTCCTAAGAGTAACAAGGTATTTGTAATATGCTATGCTAGTGCAATTTTATAACATGTATTTGTTAAAAAGATAGTTTCAGAAGCTATTTTGGACTAAGAGCATTAATAAACGATGGGAAATAAGGAACTGAAAGTAGCAGATGGAAGGAGATTTCACATGTACACACAAGTAAGTGCTAACTGATGGTCAGTATGAGAGTACAAGGAAGTAACTTCAATAAAATTTCATTTACTGAGAGGCTGTCAGAAGAAAAGTATAAAAGAAGGAGATAGGTCTCAGATCGAGGCCACTGGCCATAGCTATTTCTTGCTGGATCTAGCTATTGTCTCTGGACATCATTGCAATGGGTTGTTGATGTAAATAATGTTATGATGGCTGTTCATGTTCCAAATTGCTCATGAAATAAGCCTTAAAGTATCTTAAAGTAAGTAAAGTAAAGTAAAATCTTAAAGTAAGAATTTTTTATTATATTTTCTGTCTCCTGTTTCTTTTATTGGGATATTTTTACCACAGTAGAATAGAAGACAAAGAACTGGAGAAGATCAAAAGGTATCCAGATCTGAAATTTCAAGTTGAACGATTCTGGCATAAACCAGTTGTGGTGGTCCTCCCGGTAGTTATTAGCACTCGTGGTGCCATACCAAAAATAATTTTGGACAGCAGTTAGAAAATCTGTGCATTGACAAAATTTCTTATCAGTCAATTGCAAAAGGTCACATACCTGGGATCCGCACATCTATTACACTGATACATTATGACATCCTAGTTTCTTGGGAAGAATTCAACGTGTATGAATGTGTAAAGCCAACACTAGTTAAAGAACTGGCAGCTATGGTTTCACATTGTTGTGTAAAAAAACAATAAGCACTATGGCTCCAGCTGAGAAACCATTGGGCAGAATTTTGAGAATCAATTGCTTATTAATCTTTTTTTTTTTTCCAAAACCTGACCCTAATCTAGCACTACAGAAAAAGAGACACATATTTAATATCCAGCCGGGTAACCATTTTTATCTTTTCAACTAATGTTTTTCAATGAAGGAAAGTAATTTTAGAATCAATATCAATCAAGTTGGGAAGGAAAGACATATTGGTCTGTTCATGCTATCAGCAATGGTTCCTTCAAAGGCGTGTCATGCCTTGGCGTTTGCTGTAATAGTGATGTAAGGCGGGAATTTTTTGTTGTTGTTCCAGAAGAGAAGGCGTGACTCTGAATCATTTTTGAAATAACTATCTACTTATGCTGATTCAAAAGCTGTACATCTCTCTGAACATTCACAGCATTGCCCTCACCTGCTCTCAAGAACATTCACTCTACATGGCTTTGCCAGATCACAACATGGAAGTGTCTGGAGATTTACCTTTTTGGGTAAGCATTCTCTTTATTTCTATTTGTATCCTCATATGTGGAGTTAAAGCAATGGTAAGTGTCCTTTTTATGTTCTATATAATACCAGCATGTTGATGGTCAATTGAAAGCATGTGCCCTAGCAATTGTAGCTTTCTCCTTGCCATCCATCTCTTGCAGAAATTATTACAGAATGTGGGAAGGATTCAAAATGGGATTCACCAAATGTGAGCAGAGTAAAGTTACCAAATGTTATTAGTCAGGATGGATCATGCCTCTGAATATTAGATTTATTTGTCTATTTGTTTATTTAAATGTATAGGAACCCAACTCCAGCAGAGTCCAGTTACTGGGTTCAGAACAGTACTATTGAGTTGATTGTCCGTAGTAAGCTAAATAATAAATCTGACTATGATGGGTCACCATGGAAAATCAGATGCTGAATTAAGTAGGTCATTGGCATTATCCCATAAAGCTAGCAATAGCTTCTCCATACTTTGCTTATATTCCCACAATTGATTTCCCTGTGGAAATCAAGACATTTTTATATAATCAGTTTGTAATGATCATGTAATGAGCCCTGGTGACGCAGTGGTTAGAATGCAGTATTGTAGGCTAACTCTGCCTACATGCCAGGAATTCAGTCCTGATAGGCTCAAGGTTGACTCAGCCTTCCATTTTTCTGAGGTTGGTAAAATGAGGATCCAGATTGTTGGGGGCAAAATACTGACTCTGTAAACTGCTTAGAAAGTGCTGAAAAGCACTAAGGACAAGTATATAAATCTAAGTGCTATTGCTATTGCTATTCTAGAACACAAGACTTCCTGGTAACATAGGAATAGCCATAATTTGGATCTTTGTCTCCTAACTGAAACGTTTGTTAGGGTTGTGCAAACTGATCAAAGGGTCAAGAGGGTAGTTCTCTCTAAGAGCTGGTATGGTTACTTCAAGTTTATTTTCTGATTAGGTATAGCTGTGTTACAGTAGTAATTGAGGTGAAAGGATTTTCTGTCCATACACATACATATCTACAAGACTAGAAAAGATCCCAAGAAGCTCTGCTGTCCCTTTAAGACACAATACTGCCACAGTGCTTCAAGCAATAGTTTGGAAAGTACCTTTGCTTGCTTCACAAAGCACCTTTGGAAATGGTTTGTGCAGCCTTGGTAGTCCTCTTTCTTAAGTGGGAATTAATGTCTTGATCAGTTCTCCAGAATGACACTGCCACCTTGGTATTCTGCAATGATAGTTCTGGTTTTATTAAACAAGCAGTCTGTAAATACAAAAATAACCTGCATGCCATCAACAGCCACTCAGAAAATTTACAAATATAATGGGCCACAAGACAGTTTATTTCATTTAAACCTTTTGTAAATATGCACAGCTTGTTTAAATGATGCATTATTTAAATGTGATCATTTTTTCCTCTGTGCTCTGTGAAGGGCTAGACTCTAATTGTGTAGAATGTTGCATAGGCAATGTTGTTATTTCATTAACTAATACAAAGAATGGATATGCACATCACCTTGATGTGTATTGCAACAGACTAGAATAAATGAATGGCAATTACATAAAAGTTGTGTATGTTGACAATGAGAAAAACTCTCCTAATGTTCAGAATTGTTAACAGCAAGGATGAGGGTTTTTTCCACTAAAAATACTTTAGCAGATAGCAATAGCACTTAGACTTATATACTGCTTTACAGTGCTTTACAGCCCTCTCTAAGTGGTTAACAGAGTCAGCATATTGCCCCCAACAATCTGGGTCCTCATTTTATCCATCTCAGAAGGATGAAAGGCTGATCAGCCTAGGGGCATGATGGCGAACCTATGGCATGCATGCCACAGGTGTACTCAGAGCCCTCTCTGTGGGCATGCAAGCTGTTGCCCCAGCTCAACTCTGCCGTGCATGCGTGCGTGCCTCCTGCCGGCTAGCTGGTTTTCAGGTCTCTGCTGCACATGCGTGGGCACCGGGGCGCACACAGGAGACGAGCGTGCATGCGTGGGGGCGGGGTGCATGCGCGGGGTCACACATGGGGATCACAGGCACTTGTGTGGGGAGTGGGGCACATGGGGTCATGGGTGCATGCACAGGGGGCGGGCGGGCGGGGTCACAGGCACATTGCATTACTGCAATTACTGCAGGTTCGAATCTTGCCAAGGCTCAAGGTTGACTCAGCCTTCCATCCTTTCTAAGATAGGTAAATTGAGGACCCAGTTGTGGGGGCAATAAGCTGACTTTGTATAAATATACAAAAGAATGAAGGCTATTGCTTAGTGCATTGTAAGCCGCCCTGAGTCTCCGGAAAAGGGCAGCATATAAATTAAATTTTTTTAAAAAAATTGCATTATGGGTGTGTGTTCATGTGTGCGCTTCCGGCACTCAGTGCCGAAAAGGTTAGCCATCACTGGCCTAGGGGATTCATAGGGGATTCAAGTAGATAATCTTGCAATGGAAGATAAGATTAAATGATTCTCAGATGCTTACAAGCCAATTTGTATCTCCTCTTAATATTATTGCCTAGCCCTTTCAATATTTGCTAGAAGAAATAGTCAAGTTTACTTTGAGTTTGTGAGATCCACTATATGACATTTTTTCTGCTTAGTCCTTCTCTCTTCCAACAGTTCCAACTTCTAACCTGCAATTCACACTGTAATATTGTTTTCAATATATTATTATTATGCAGGGAGAGGTATCACCTTGTTGTTTCCTTACCATAAGAGTGATCAGGGCAAGGAATCTTCGGAAAGCAGATATGTGTGAGTACCCTTTGTATATTTTCCCCCATTTCAGAATAGTACTAAACTGGCATTGGGACTATTTTGCTTAAGGAGATTCATTAAGAATTATTCTTCACCATTTCCTAACTTAAACAAAGAAAACTAAGGTATTCAAACTTAGTCACTGATTCATGTCCGATCCTCGGCCACTCTATGGATCAGCATTCTTCATGCCATTCTGTCCCACACCACCATGGTCATCCCAGCACCATCCTTTACAGCAGTGGTGAAATTTGTTACTATCGGTTCTGTGGGCATTGCTTGGTGGGGAGGGGGGGGTGGTGTAATGTGACTTGGTGGGTGTGGCCAATTTTTTTTTAACTTTTAAAACCATTTTTTCTACAACCTCTTTGGCAAAGAGGTTGTAAAAAATGCTTTCAAAAGGCTCTGACAATCCCAGATGAGTTGCCTGATTGGCAGAGGCTTTTTTTCTTTTAAAAGCCTCTGCTGATCAGGCAACTCAACTTGAATCGTCAGAGGCTTTTAAAAGAAAAGAAGCCTCTGCCGATCAGGCAACTCAGCTTGGATCGTCAGAGGCTTTTAAAAGCCTCTGACGATCCAAGCTGAGTTGCCTGACAGCAGAGGCTTTTTTTCTTTTAAAAGCCTCTGACAATCCAAGTTGAGTCTGCCGATCAGACAACTCAGCTGGGATCATCAGAGGCTTTTAAAAGCATTTTTTCTATAACCTCTGAAGTGGTTGTAGAAAAAATGCTTTTAAAAGCCTTTGACGATCCCAGCTGAGCCGCACAATCATCAGAGACTTTTTTTTCCAACTTTTAAAAGCATTTTTTCGGCCAAAGAGGTTGTAGAAAAAATGCTTTTACATTTTTTTTAAAAAGGCTCTGATGATTGCGTGGCTCAGCTGGGCATAGGGGAGGCAGGGATTTTTGCTACCGGTTCTCTGAACCATCTGCCTCCATCGCTACCGGATCGGGTGATCCGGTCCGAACTGGGAGCATTTCACCCCTGCTTTACAGTGTCCAGCCAGCAAGTACTAGGGAGGCCTCTTCTCCTTTTTCCACTGATCACTCCCAGCACAATTGACTTTTTGAGCGAGTTGGCTCTCATGACACATCCGATGTATGACAGCTTCTGTTTGGAGATCTTGGCTTCAAGCGATACTTTGGGTGAGGTTTGGTCTAGGACTACTTTGTTATTTTTGCAGTCTGTGGGATGGGTAATAGTCACCTCCAGCATTTCAGTTCAAACATGTCCACCCTTCTCCTATCTGCCTTTTTCAGAGTCCAGATTTTGCAGTCATAAGAAGCAATTGGAACAATTATTGTATTAGGGCAAACCAACATAAATAGAGGACAAACCCTACTCAGTTTATACATAGATGCACCACACTATGATTAAAAAATTCTTCTGTTTTTTAATCTTCTTTCAATATACAGTTAGCTCTTGACTTATGACCACAATCGAGCCCAAAATTTCTTAACAACGAGACAGTTGTTAAGTGAATTTTGCCCCATTTTATGACCTTCTTGCCGCAGTTGTTAAGTGAATCACTGCAGTTGTTAAGTTAGTAACATGGTTGTTTAGTGAACCTGGCTTCTCCATTAACTTTGCTGGTCAGAAGTTCGCCAAAGGCCATCAGATGATTCCGGAACACTGCAACCTTCATAAATATGAGTCCCTTTCCAAGCATCTGAACTTTGGTCACGTGACTGTGGGGAAGCTGCAACGGTTGTCAGTGTGAAAAACGGTCATGTCACTTTTTTCAGTGCCATTGTAACTTTGAACGGTCACTAAATGAACTGTTGTAAGTCAAGGACAACCTGTACATCATTCTACCATGCCCTCTAACATTAGATTGCAAATATAGGCCAGATGAAAGGAAGGAGGATTAAGAGATATTACGGTATGTGTACAGAAAAGTGTACCTGCTATTCCTCTTCAAGTATCCCAATGCGACCTTGATCTTCTCTGTAATGTATGCTACAGAGTAATATCACCTGTCACATATTTATTTATACTTTGATCTTTTACAATAGTAAGCCCTCCTGACTGCTACTTGAAGCTGCAACTGCCAGCTGCTTCTTCTGCACAGTACCAAACAAAGACCATTCACAACTGCAAAGACCCTGTCTGGAATGAAACCTTTCATTTCATGGTGCAGTCCAAAGTAAAGGTAAGCAACTCATTGTTAATTTTAGTTTCAGCGGCTGTGTGATCATTGCAGGCCAGGAGAGGTGAACGATTAGGAAAGCTATGGCCAGTCAAAAGTTAGTATACTCCGAGACTCATGGGCCAAGCTCATTCCTTTCCTTCATAGACTTGAAGGCAATATTTATTTATATTTCAAATGCTGTGTCTTAAGTTTGTGAATTCTATGTAGTTGGTACATGCATTGGATCCAAGCACTGACAGAGTGGAAGCTTAATGGCGCAAAAGGGGATAACAATGGAAGTTATAACAGGGCAATACAAGCCCTGTTCCTTTTCAATATTCAGCACGAAACCTCACTCGTGCACAAAATGGGCGGAGCTTGCAGCATGAAGCCAAATGCAGCCTTAATTTCTCTGGTAAAAATACCAACCTTCTGTTGTTTTTGTCAGAGAAATCCAAGAAATCCATCACTTCTCATCCAAGAAGCTTCTTTGGCTCTGATTGGATGGTGGGGACTGGAAGGATTTAGATTTCTATGACCAGCTGTCTGAAAGGAATATACATTCCCCACCATCCATTGCACACCAGAACAACTAGACACAAGGACAATTCTCCCCCCATGCCATCACTTTACTAAACAACTAATTCTCACAACACTGTCAAATTATTTAATAAGGGTTATATTACTATTCTTCTTCTTCTCATCTTTCCTATTACCTATCTCCTTTTCTACTTATGACTATAATTTTGTTGCTTGTATCTTTTCGATTTATACTGTTTTATTTAGTTTCCTAGTATGATTTATGTTGATGGCTTATTGAGTATCCTATGACTGTCACTAAGTGTTGTATTTTATGATTTATGATGAATGTATTTTTATGATGACTATGATCATAATTTATCACTTATAGCTTTTATGTACATTGAGAGCTCATGCACCGAAGACAAATTCCTTGTGTGTCCAATCACATTTGGCCAATAATGAATTCTGTTCTGTTCTGTTCTGTTCTGTTCTGTTCTGTTCTGTTCTTCCATCAGAACTGAAGAAGCTGCTTGGATGAGATGCAAAACATATTCAAAGAAAAAACAAGAAAGTCCAGTTACCTCTTGAAAAAGCACCTTTGGTACTTCTGTAGATCCCCATAATTAACGTATTTGTAGCCTTCATTTCCAAAACTTGACATTCTGAGCAGCTGTTAAACCTACCATGCAAAGGGTATCTACTCCCACAATCCTACAGAACTGCTTTCTTATCAGTTCAACCAGATTCCTATTTTTTAATAACAGCAAAGAATGAAATGTACAGCACATCTCATCATACACTTCCTTTTACCTAAACTAAAGAACCTTCAATCTTTCAACCTCTCCTTGCCCAATGCTATCCCCATCCAAATGTATATTCTACCCTTTATGACATATCTACCTTTTAACAACCTTTTATTTCTTTTCCCAGAATGTGTTGGAGCTGAGTATTCATGATGACGATGTCTGTCAAGATGACCATCTTTTCACTGTACGCTTTGATATAGCAAAACTCCCACTGAATGAAAAAGTGCTCATGAATTTTAATTGCGACAAAAAGGTCTGTGTAACCTTAATTAACATTTTAACAGAGCAATTTTGTGTGTTTACTCAAGAGTAATCAATTATTTTGCATGCACATGCACAAACCAAACCGATGTAATCATTATACACCCTGAACTAATATACAAACTAGAATGCAGCTATCCTTTTATTTTCACACTTTACTAAAGAGTATAGTAAAACTGTAGTAAAAAAAAAATGCACATGTAAAAATATATTATAGATAGGTTTATATTGTGAAAAATGTCTTGCAAAAAATTATGTTTGGGAAAATTGGCGGAAAACTACACAAATTTTTAAGCATATTGGGGGGGACAATTGTTTTGGTTTGCAGGCATTTATTTTTAGAATCCAAAATCATGGAGAGAACAGTTGCTTGCAGAAGTCTGTTTCTATCTTATTTTTCTTTTGTTTTTACTGTGTTTTATTCTAGCATCATTTTACCATCATTGAAACCCATTTTATAATGTTTCTGTAAAGAAGTCTGACATATACTTTTAAAAATAAATATAAATAAATATACATTTTGAAATACAGGAGCTCAATATGATAACCTCTAAAATAAAAATCCTCTAGAAAGAATTGTAGCATTTGTTAACAATCAATTACAGACCAGGGAGCTAGACAGACAGAGATGAGCTTTAGTCTTTCCTTTCTTGAGGCTAGCCCTTCTGTTTGTGGATATAATGAGAGTGGCATGGAGTTTTAGTAGAAAAGCTAACTTGCAGTCTTGCATATCATTCTCAGAGCAAGGAAAGTGTGAACCACACATCCATACAAACCTGCTTATGAAGCCCAACCTATCATTTTACATGCTAGTGATATTAAGCGTGAGCTGTTAGAAAGATATTTAAAATAATGTCTTTTTATTTACTATTAGCTCCATTTGATGTGGCTGAATACCCGCTATGATTTAGTGTTATGAGTGTATTCCACAACTATGGTTAAAATCCAGATAATATTAAGCTTGAACATAACAGCAATTCAAAGAATAGACACAAGAACAGTTTTTTCCTGAACGCCATCACTCTGCTAAATAAATAATTCCCTCACCACTGTCAAACTATTTACTAAATCTGCACTACTATTAATCTTCTCATCGTTCCCATCACCCATCTCCTTCCATTTATGACTGTATGACTGTAACTTTGTTGCTTGTATCCTTACGATTTATATTTATATTGAATGTTTCCTGATTGCTTATTTGTACCCTATGACTATCATTAAGTGTTGTACCTTATGATGGTGGACTTCCGGGTGCGCTTCAAGGTGTTGGTGATCACCTTTAAAGCGCTCCATGGTTTAGGGCCAGGGTATTTACGGGACCGCCTTCTGCCACCAATAGCCTCCCACCGGCCAGTTCGCTCCTACAGAGAGGGCCTACTCACGGTGCCGTCGGCTAGACAATGCCGGCTGGCGACCCCCAGGAGGAGAGCCTTCTCTGTGGTGGCACCTACCCTTTGGAACAATCTACCCCCAGAGATACGAGTGATCTCCGACCTCCGGACTTTTCGTCGGGCCCTAAAAACTCATCTCTTTCAGTTAGCTGGTCTCTCTTGATTTTATGATTTTATGGTTGATTTTAAATTTTGATATGGATTTTAAATTGATAAATTTTAAACTATGGGCCAAATTTAATTATTTTAAATCTATTTTTAATCGTACTTTATGTATAAATGTTTTATTTTGGCTGTTCACCGCCCTGAGTCTGAAAGGAGAAGGGCGGTATAGAAATTTGAATAATAAATAAATAAATAAATAAATAAATAAATAAATAAATAAATAAATAAATAAATAAAATGATTCTTGATGAATGTATCTTTTCTTTTATGTACACTGAGAGCATATACACCAAGACAAATTCCTTGTGGGTCCAATCACACTTGGCCAATAAAAAATTCTATTCTATTCTATTCTATTCTATTCTATTCTATTCTATTCTATTCTATTCTATTCTATTCTTTGTGCCAGTTGTGGTGAGATTACAATTCTCAGAATTCCTTTTAAAAAAAAAACCTTTTAGAATGGTTTCGGTAGGAAACTTTACAATTATTTTCCTCTAATTTCAGGAAAACGAGGAGCTGGAATTAGAATTTGAGTTACTGCATAGGTGGGTAAAATCAGAATCTAAATAATCTCTGCAGAATCTATTATGTCCCTGCTTGTCATCTGTATGAAATACTGGGCAACATTTTCCTTCACTGATACTAAGATCTAACAATATTCTACTATTTAGCAGTCCTGCTCTGCATTTTGACAAAACCTCATAAGAAGCTTTGCATTTTAAACATCCTGAGCTACTACTGGTTTCCCCTGTTGTTTTCAACATTTCTAGGAATTGCTTTTTTTTTTTAACAGTAACTTTAAAAATTCTGCCTTGCTGCATAAAGTAATGATAATATGATTTTTTTTAGATCAAGATTTTCTGAAATAGTCATTACAAATGGAGTTCTTCTGGTAAGTATTTTATCTACTTTCTTTCCTCTGCTACTTTTTCTGAAAAGGGAATGGAATGAAATGAATGCAATTTCCAACTGATACCTTTTCTTTTTCCTAACTGATATCTGAAACTTTTGATTAAGGAATCATGATTTTTTCAAGTATCTAATACTTAAACCTTATGACTTTCACAGTTGATCTTCTATCCTGTTTGTCAAAGTGAATAATATTTTAGAATTATGGCAGTATTCCATTTCCTGAAAATATAATTACATCAGTAATATACAATTACACACAATTGTATATAGTTATGCACAGAGTGTATACTGTATACCACATAGGATATATAACACCATATGCTATAAATATGGATATCCCGCCATAAAAAAAGAGATTTTAAATGTGTAAAAAAATATAGCTGATAGATCAGTGGGATAGCTTAATAAATATAAAATGTTTTATTACTGTTACTAGATTTTAAGGGACGTGGCTAAGACACTGAGCTTGTCGATCAAAAGGTTGGCAGTTCAGCGGTTCGAATCCCTAGTGCTGCATAACGGGGTGAGCTCCCATTACTTGTCCCAGCTTCTGCCAACCTAGCAGTTCAAAAGTACGTAAAAAATGCAAGTAGAAAAATAGGGACCACCTTTGGTGGGAAGGTAACAGCGTTCCGTGTGCCTTTGGTGTTTAGTCATGCCGGCCACATGACCATGGAGACATTTTCGGACAGCACTGGCTCTTCGGCTTTGAAACGGAGATGAGCACTGCCCCCTAGAGTCAGGAACGACTAGCACATATGTGCAAGGGGAACCTTTATCTTTACCTAGATTTTAAACATTTGTGTGTGTGTATTTTATGTATAGTTAAATACATATATACATACATACAAAACATTTGTCACTTGCCTTTAAAAACATTAGCAGAAGAGTTACATTTCAGTAGTTACTCTTAGTCATATCATGTTATAGGAAAAGGGTATTATTCCCACCCACCCTTGAATGCTAATTGGCAAACATTTTATCATTCAGAGGGAAAACCAATACAGGAATTTTACACTTTAATTTTAAATTTAATGTCCTCTTGTATTTCCTTGTATTTCTACAGTCTCGACAAGTCCGCTGTTTGGAGGTCGAGGTGGAGAAGAAAAAGGCGCGAAACTCAAGTAATATTACTTTTTCTGTAAACTCAGAGAAGGTGTAGCATCTGTAATCATGCAGGGTGTGGCTCCCACCCTGATGGTATCTTTTAAAAAAACCTGGCTGTTCTTCCACGCCTTGGAGTAGGGTGGCTGCCAAGTCCCTGACATTTCTGGTACTACATGGAGTTTTTCCTGTACAGACATTTATTTATTTATTTAATTTATTAAACTTCTATGTCGCCCATCTCACTGGCGACACTAAGCAACTTTACGATGTCTTCTGTTTGTCATTATTTATCTCCTCCAATTAAAGCGTGCTCCAAGACCCTCAACATTTTGCCAGCCTAAACAGCATTAAAATCCCTAGCACAGTGATGGCTAACCTTTTTGCTATTGCATGCCAAAAGTGGGGGGAGGGGTGGTCATGTGTGCGCGTGCCCACACTCATAATTCAATGTGCCCCCCCGCATGTGTGTGCAACCCCCCACACTCTCCCTGCTTTTGGCAGGTGATGGCCCGTTGGGCCTGGTAGGCCCATTTTTCAGGCTCCAGAGCCTTTCTAGGAACCTGGGGAAGGCAAAAACGGCCTTCCCCACCCCCCAGAGGCAGGAAACAGACCGTTTCCCACATGCCAGAGCTGAGCTAGGGCAACACTTGTGAGCCCACCAATATGGCTCTGTGTGCCACCTGTGGCACACGCGCCATAGGCTTACCATCACAGCCCTAGCACATGGAAAGCAGCAGCTGCAGCAAATGTGTCAGTTTTAATTTTTGATGTGGTCCTTATCAATAAATATAACTCATACAAATAAACGGTCTCTTGGAGGGGGGTCCTCTATGGGTTTTTTTTTTTTTTAACCAGGAAGGATTCTGGAGAGGAAAAAGGTTTAAGAAACACCGATCTACTCTTTTAAAATGTTAACTGAATTGCTCTGGAGTTGGGTGCCCAGTAAATCTAACAAATAAATACGATTCATCAAGAATGATCTCTTTAACCTACTGCAGTTCTACTCAAGTTCTATGAAAAATATATTACTAATAACGGAATATCATCATTTGAAATGAGTGAAGTACCAGGTAACATGGTATATTGTATTTCCTCTACAAGAACGTGGAGCTGGATTTTTCTTTCTACAGTACATCACTACTTGTGAATTGGGACTGGTGGGTGGTCTTTGATCTGCTGAGAAGAATAAAAGACCAGGTTGAGAATAAATGAACTGTAGAGCTCTCTGCTGAAAAGTATGGATACTTTAATTTGGAAAGGTTGTTTGCTTACTTCCTTGGTAAATCCTAAGCTTTCAGGTGAAGTCTAAACAGAATTTCTTTATTTCCTGTCACTCTTAGTCAGTAGGAAGCTCTCATTGGCATATCTTGAACCCATTTTCTTCTCTCTTGTCTTTGCTCTTTCCTGTTTAGCACTGCTAACACTTTTGTTTCTGTTTCCTGTTTCCGCAGGGAGTAGGGAAGGATAGGCATTCACATATGTGTATTTCAGTTTTTCCATGTGAGAGAATGATTGGTATGCAAAGATGGAGATAAACTTATTTTATAAATGGGATGGTTTATAAGTGACTGAGATTCATTCAATGAATTTGTTGGGTTGTGGTTTCTGACAGGTATAGCTATCCATATGCACATACAGTATCTATACAAGTGGGCCTCATTATACACTTTGGGTAGATGGTAAATTTCCAGGATTAGCTTCAGCTCAAGTTGGCAGTTTACATTAGCCAGATGGGGAAATTTGCATTTTAGAGATTGATCCTTCCTTCCCTCCTTCCTTCCTTCCTTCCTTCCTTCCTTCCTTCCTTCCTTCCTTCCTTCCTTCCTTCCTTCCAGTTTAAATTAAGAATAGCATTCCTTTAATGTGGCATAATCTTACCTAGCACATGATTGTCTTAAATTAGTCATTTTATCAGCAACTACTGATCCATTCGTGGCATCTTCTGACTGGATTGCTGTAATGCATTCTAGATGGATTCTTCCATTGTAGACTGGTTTTGTTTTTTAAAAAAGTGGCACTAAAAACATATGCAATTGCTTTTGTGAACACTCTTTTCCTTTTCTTTTATAGAAAAAAGACTATATCTTATTGCAAAAGGATCTCATGAAGAACATAAGGAATTTAGTTTGGGTTTTGACTTCTGTATGAAAACTACATTTCACTATATTAAATATAACCACCCAACATTGGATATTAGATTACCAAAGGAGGATCTAGATTATTTATTTGTGAGTTTATTATCAAATGTCATTTTCTTATTAAAGGCTCTGTTTGTTGTTCTTATTGTATCAGTTTTGTATACATTTATTCCGAAGAATAGCACAACTTGCATATTTGTTTGTTTGTTTTTTATTAGATTTATATACCGCCCTACTCCTGAAGGACTCAGGGCAGTGAACAGGCACAAAATAAAATACATAGATACAAAAGTTAAAAAACATAATTAAAACCAGATTAAATAATTTAGCCCGAGACAATAAAAATCCCAATAATTTAAAACAGATTAAAATTTTGATTTAAAAGAATTTTAAAACAGGGGAGAAAATTAGGCCAGGCCAGCTTGCTGGAATAGGAGAGTCTTAAGAGCATGGCGGAAAGTGCGCAGATCCAGGATCCTCCGTATCTCTGGGGGGAGCTCGTTCCAGATAGTGGGTGTCCCCACAGAGAAGGCCCTCCCCCTGGGGGCCGCCAGTCAACATTGTTTAACTGACGGTGCCTGGAGGAGCCCCTCTCTATGAGAGCGTACCAGCCGGTGGGAGGCTGCTTGTGGTAGTAGGCGGTCCCGTAAATAACCAGGTCCTAAGCCATGGAGCGCTCTAAAGATGGTGACCAAAACCTTGAAGCGCACTCAGAAGACCACTGGGAGCCAGTGCAGCTCACACAAGAGAGGTGTCACACGGGAGCACCATGTTGCTCCCATAACCACCCGTGTGGCCGCACTCTGCGCCAGTTGGAGCCTCTGGGTGCTCCTGAAGGGGAGCCCCATGTAGAGAGCGTTACAGTATACAATATTGATAGAAGAGAATTTTTATTGCCTAGGGTTCAACTGTTTGGACTCTCTGAGCTTGGTTGTTTTCTTGCAGACATTTCATTACTCAGCTAGGCAACATCATCAAACCTAGAAGGGAGTGGGGCTTTCTTCTCAGTTTATATTCTTGTAGCTTGTCCTGTAAGTGGTGATGACCGTGGTCTTGATGATTCTGTTATTAGATTGTTGTTTACTGTTTGTTTGTGTTGGTAATTCCTTGAGTGGGCTACAGTGCTTGATTGTTGGTCTAATATTAATTTTGGTGTTAATCTCTGCTTATATGGGTGTTGATTGCTTACATATCATGCAACTTTCTACTCCTTTGGGTACAGAAGTGTAATTATCTTTCCAGGGGCCATGTTCTTATAATAAAGAAGAAAAATCTGTAAAAGTGGAAGTAAATTCAATTCCTCAGAACAAGAAACTAGTATTAGCTGAGGTAAGAGTAGAATTTTGCTGAATATTGCTTTAAACTGCTTCCATGTTTTAAATTGACTTCTCCACAATCTGAGGTGAGAGGAAAGGTAATTTAATCTCTGCCACAGCACATGTTCTAACTGAACTATGATTAGGATGGTATTATCTGTATGGAAAAAAAAATCTCAAATGTGTATGAAAATAATCTGGAATAGGAGATCTGCACCAAATGTGAATCCGCCAACACTGGAAGTCTTTAAGAAGATGTTGGATAACCATTTTTCTGAAGTGGTGTAGGGTTTTCTGCCTAAGCAAGGGATTGGACTCCAAAGTCTCTTCCAACTCTGTTATTTTATTCTATTCTAATTCCTATCAATTGGGTTTTTTAAATGTTTTTGCAATATAAAAGTTCCAAAAAGAACAATGTAGGTATGCATTTTTACCAAAGATTTTTTTATATGCTCAATAAACTGCATGCTCAGAATCATGTAATAATATATTAGTTAAGTAAAGCAACAGAATGTGGAACCATAGAATCTAATCAGAAGATTTTGTTGCTTTGGCGAATGGACTGTGTTTCTATTCATGCAGAGGAAATGGATAATATTTTGCTTTTTTGGCTGCAGTCCTCTGTACTTTTCTGTTTCTTCTGTTGAATCCTACGGATCTTAGACATAGTAGTGGAAAGATCAACATACCATCTCAATATAATCAATTGTATGTTGAACTTGAATTCTAAGTTCTTTGCGTCAAACAAATTTTACTGATTTATCTCAGAAAACAACACTCAAGTTAGAAACATCATTGTATTAATGACCAAGTATGATAAAAAAAAAACAGTAGACAGGAATTGCTATCACTAACCTATGCTTCAAATGCAAAATTAAACTTAAACACTCTTAAACTGAAGATTCTTCTTCAAGATTTTGAGAAAAGGACTTGTACTAGAATGTTGTAATATGCAGATGGATGTAAATACAGTTCATTCTTTCATTAAAAACTGCATAGTTGTTTGACTGTATGTTTGTGCTTGTGCCTGTGTCTGTATATCATCATGTCAATCTGGACTCCTAGTGACTGCCTAAGCAAGTCTGTGTAGTTTTCTTGGCATAGTTTCTTAGAGGTTGTTTGCTATTGTGTTCTTCAAAGGATGATGGAGAATGATTAGCCCAAGGTCACCCAGCTGGCTTTATGCCTAACACGGGACTAGAAGTCACGGTCTCCTGGTTTCTAGCTTGTAGTGATACCTTAATCACTACATCAAACTTGTTCTCAGTTGACTACAAAGTTTATTTGGTTGACAGCCTATATCCTGCTGAAAACTGTGTTGCCTAACTATTTAAAATATCCATGAAATATTCACAGTCTCAAAAATGAACTCTTAAACCATAAGCATAAGTACTTGTTATCATATGTCCCATCAGAATAATATGGACTATCCAGTAACCAATTTATGGGTTCTGGCCCAGCAGGTGAAATGTGTATACATATCCACTTTTTTATATGTGTGCTAGAAATTATAGATGACTCCTGGAATGAAAGATGTTGATAAAATAAAGAAACCTATATTTGTATTCTGAATTTTCAGAATAAGAAATTTGCTTTGCATGTGAAGACAGAAGACTGGTAAGACATCCATCCAGTCTCGGATGGTAATGGCTACAATTTTAATTGTTCTGTTTATTTCTGTTCTAATCTGTTTTATTTCCCCAACCTTTATTTGGGGACATGTTCCTGAAGGAATTTGTAGTGTTTGTATTATTTAAGGCCAAGTATTTTTCATTTCTGTTGTAATTACATGTACTATATACGTAGGGATGTGGTATGAATTCTAATGTCACTTTTCATAGCAAAATAGATGATGGCATTCTGTTTTGTACACATGATATTCAAAATAAATACTATGGAAAACATTGTATAAATATTGTAATTTGCCATTTAAAAACAAATCACTTTATAAATTGTTCTTCTCATGTCACATTTATTATATGGTTACTTTGGTTTATTGAAGATTTCCTTGATCATTAGCATTTTCAAGTAATGAAGACGATTCCAAATATGAAGATGGAACAGATATGCTGACATGTATTTCCTTGTGTGTTTAATTCAGTAAGACCAATCTTGACCTCCGCTTGGGATATGACCTTTGTTCACAAGAGCAAGATTTTTTACACAAAAGAAAGAACATTGTCACTAGTGCCTTGAAGAAGGTTCTCAAACTAGAAAAGGACCTGCAGGACCATGAGGTGTGTATGATTCAGAATGTCAGTTATTAACTGAAGGATTCCAATTGACGACATATAGACATTATGATGAGGATTAATCTAATCTCTCGTCTTGTGTGTCTCCATTTTTTTCAGCTGTTCATCCAGTAATAAGAATTACCACTTGTGGGCAAGCACTCACCAAATACCTGAAAGGAAGTTAGAAACAATATTCCTTAATTTCAGAATGTGAAACATTTGGTTAACCATTAGGAAATGGATTCAGTGAAAGAACCAGTTGGTGGAAATGGTGGATTACCTCCCATGGGATGCTTAATTGGAGATTACACGGACATTTGTGGGGTTAATTAATCTGGGTTCCTTCATTGTATAAGAGGTCAAACCTGATGGCAGAAGTGGCTGCCTTGAATTCTATGATGTTAGAATTGAAGGTAGCCAATTCTAGCTTTTGCCACCATGTTGGATTAATGAGGCTCATTTTCAAACTTGTTGTGGTTAATTTATTGTGCAAAGCACAATGAATGTTGCCTTCCGTTAATTTAAATAAACAAATCACATTGTGGCTTATAAAGAAAACATTGTGAACAAACTAAAGTTAAGATTGGCAATAATGTATGGTTTGAGAAGTAACTTTAAAATTAGCTTAACTGAATGGGAAGCAACATTTCTTCTTCTGCCTCTTTCAGTCTGTCTTAATTCTAACTTAAATCTGGTATCTCCAACAATTATATTATAATTATAATTGTAATAATGCCATACTACATATCAGATATTTAACCTTCTAGTTGAGGTTAAAGGGCTGTGTATTTACAGATGAAGGTTCCTGTGAGTGGAAATCCAATCTGTACAAGGACTAATGAAGCAGGGTTTATAACTAATAGGGGAAAAAAGATTTATTTACAGCAAATATATAATGTAGATAGGCAAAGATTACCATCTAAACTGCTAATCATACTAGAGAGTAAGTCAAAGGAACATGCGCTCTATATGCATCTGAGAAGTAAGACAGATGGAAGTGACTACAAATAACATTTTTATACACAAGCAGCAGGCACAGTGATAGACAAAGAGAAGACAGAGACACTTAACTCTGTGCACATCTTACTGCCACCTTGTGCCCTGGAAACTATCAAGTTTTGAAAAGTCAGAACTATTGCAGTTACACTGTAATTAGATAACAAGAGAAGAGAATATGTGTAACTCAAGGTTGAAATGTGGAGTCCTTGGTACTCTCTAAGCTTGCTTCTTTTCTTGAAGATGTTTCATTACCCAAATAAGAAACATTTATAGATAGGTAGGGGAGTTAAGGATAGTCAGTGACTAAGACGCTGTTCTTGTTGATCGAAAGATCAGCATTTCAGTGGTTCGAATCTCTAGTGTCACTTAACGGGGTGAGCTCCCGTTACTTGTCCCAGCTTCTGCCAACCTAGCAGTTTGAAAGCACGTAAAAAAATGCAAGTAGAAAAATAGGGACCACCTTGGTGGGAAGATAACAGCATTCCGTGCGCCTTTGGCATTGAGTCATGCTGACCACATGACCACAGAAACATCTTCGGACAGTGCTGGCTCTTTGGCTTTGAAACGGAGATGAGCACCGCCCCCTAGAGTCGGGAACGAGGGGAACCTTTACCTTAGGGGTGTTATTTCCATTTTGGTAGTTCCTTGATTAAACTATTGTTTATGCTTGATTGCTTATCTGGAGTTAATCCTAGTACCAATTCCTTCTTCTGTTAGTGAGGGGTGTTGTATGGAACATTATATGGAAGTACCAATGTGGCTTTCAACAATAGAAGCGTTGACACATCCAAATATGATTAACATGGACAAGACTGTAAGATATAAAGACATTTTAACAGAGAAGGGAGAATTAAAACAGTGGTGTGTAAATGTTGTTTATCACTATATGCCTGTTGATGAGGGCCAAGCTGCGGGGAATTTGCTAGCGTTTTCTGGATTTAGCTTGGTCTAGGATGCTCACAATTTCCTTGTTGAATCTATGTGTTGGGAAATTAAGGAATTTTCATCATGTCTTCTCACCACTAGAGGGTGCTCAGTTTCTTGGTTTACCTAAGATGTTTTGGAGGGCTTGTGTGCTACAGTGATGCATTGTGGTTGTTAATAGTCTGTTGATTGTTTCCGAGATGTTTTTTATATGTGGCAGTGTTATCCTTTTCCTAGCTTGGATTGGTTGTACTGTAGTCAATTGAGTGTCAGATAACATTTTGATGAAGTAGTATGGCATCCATTTTACTGGAAGATGTTAAAGAGGCTGTCTGTTTCCTTCTTCTGGTGTTGCAGTGCATTTGTGCTCATCTGAATAATGTCCTTACACAGCTCCTCTTGTGGGAGATTGGGTTGGTAGGTTCTTTGGTAGTGGAGCATTTGGTTAGTGTGGGTGATTTTTCAATGGACTTGTGTTTTTAATTTGCCATCCTTGCCTCTGCTGATGAGGATGTTCAGGGAGCTCAGAATGGTGTTGTTTTCCTCTTCCCTAGTGATTTTTATTCCTTTGAAGATGTTGATTGCTTCATATGTCTTCAGCAGCTGTTCCTTTGTTACTATGAGATGTCACCCACTTGTGGATCCATACTTTTGCTTGTGGGTGGGTGGGTGTGCTATGGTTTCTAGATGCTGCATTACAGTCTCTGCTATGACTCCTGAGAGTAATTTGATAAATAGTTGATAAATTGTTCCCTAATTGTTTAAGGAAACTCCCCTTTAGAACTCAAAGAGACTTACTAAAAAATGATGGGTGCTAAAAGTTTAACTCCATAGTTACATACATTTTTCATTAATATTTTATAGACACCAGTGCTAGTCTATGTGGAAAGATCCATTTTTAATAACTAGGATTGAATTTAAGGGCACACTTATTTGATTGCAAGGGTATTTTCGTTTGGATATGATGGTTATGTTGAATTGTGTTGTTATGATACAGCTACATCAATATGCTGAACCTGCTGCTTCTTTCTTAAAATGAGATACAACTTTTACATATTAAATTGTAAATTACTGACACCCTTTAGCACCTCTGAATAGTTCACATTCCTAACATATTTATAATAAGCAAATATTTATACTAAGTATATTAATCAGCCACGTAATTCTACAAACTTTTTAGATGGCAGATAGCTGAAATTGTAATAGCTTCATTTTGGTTATATTGTGGTCAAACACATGCCCTACAATAATAGTTTTGACTTGCCCCACTATTGTACAGTAACTCCTCTGCTTTTGATATATTAATAATGCAAGCATTTCTGATGTGCAAATAAAATTCAGTAGGACACCTTAACATAATATATGTCATGAGTTAATAACATGTTCCCTTTTCACACATCTTCACATCCAGTGGTTAAAAGAATAGAATTACATTTTACTACAGCTGTCCAGAGGCATCCTAAAATGGCAGAATATAAATGCAATACATAAATAAAGAAATAAATTTTGGGAATTATATTATTATAGTGTAGTGTACATGATATAATGCAATATAAATTAAATATAATGTAAATAATTTTATTCTTTATAAAGATACAATAACATATAATTATATATTTACCAATCAGTGAGAGAAAGTTGCTACGGTAATAGCTGACAGGAGTTCAGGAGAGAAGAGGGGGAAAAGTTGACAAGCGATAATAAAAAGGAAATCCATTAAACTCACAAGCAAACATAACAATTAATTAAATATTTGTTTTAAATTATAAAAACAAACAAGGAAACACACAAAACTTAATTTCACTATGTAAACTTAATTATAACCCTTATAGTTTAAAGGAAAAGATTCAATCATTGCTTCATTTAATCAGCTCTTTTTCCACGTTAATAAGAATGTCAAAAATAAAAAGGAAAACCAGTTAAGAAACTGATTTAGGATACTATAAATATTGTTGCTAGAATTTTTCATATTTTGTAGTCTACCTTCCATGGGCTTTGATTCTTGAAAATAATACTTCCTCCGCTTCAAGTAGTGCCAACATTTTTCTTTTCTGTCACCATGGAAATCCGGACCAGATTTTCTTTCTCACAATATAGAGGGGTGGAAGGGGCCAGCCAGTCCTTGCAATTACCAGTTCAGGTAACCAGATGTAAAATAACATCCAGTTTGCAGAATCTGTCCGAACCGGCTGAATCCCACCTCTGGACACAATGTCCTCTCTTCCCACCTCCAGGCAGCAACAGCAGCAGCAGCAAGGGGTATTGTTAAAGGGAAACATGGGAAGGTACAGAAGAAGCCTGAGTCTAAATCCTGAATTTCATTGTCCCCTTTCAAAATTGAGAGTTACTTACTTGTTTATTTTTTGAGGTGCCGGTAGTTGCAATCATGACAACAGGGGGCAGTATGCGGTCACTGACTGCATGCTTTGGAAGTCTCCGAGGTCTTCAGAAGCTTAATCTCCTAGACTGTGCTACATACATGAGTGGATTGTCGGGCACAACCTGGTAAGGACATTAAGGCATATTTGATGCTAGAAAAATAAACATTGTTCAGTCTCTGTGCTCTATAATTAATTGGGTAGGACATGAAATTACTGACCTACTTGAGAAATAAGTCTATGACTTGCTGCTTTGTTTAAAAAAAGAACCTGCTTTCATTTTAACTTTATTTGAATTAAGAAAAGAGATCCATTTGAGGTCTGGGGATATAATGTGCCAAGGAGATTTGGAGCTGAAATGTATATTGAGAAAAATCTTTTTTGATCTAATTACCTGCCTACAATTAATTGTAAGAATGCAATAGAAATTCTGTATTGATAAATACAACAGGTAGTCCTTTTTTATGACCTTTCTGGTGCGGTTATTAAGTGAATCTGGCTCCCCCCATTGACTTTGCTTGCCAAAAGCACCCTGGGAAAGTTGCAAATAGCGGTCAAGTGAACCTGGGATGTTGCAACCATCATAAATACATACCAGTTGCCAAGCATTCAAATTCTGATCATGTGACATGCAGAATGCTGCAATGATCATGTGTGGTCATAAGTAACTTTTTTCAGCACTGTCATAACTTTGAATAATCATTAAACAAATGGTCATAATATACAATATACAAGGACTACCTGTATATTGGACTTCAGTTCCCATAATTCCTGACTATACTGGCTCCGCTGGCTGACTCTAACATGGATTCCTTTGTTTGGAATATAATTATATTACAATAGGGGAGCTGTTGCTTTAATGGGGTATCTTAAAGGAATCTTGTGGGATATTTGATATTTAATCCAATCAGATATTGTTTATAGTCTTGAAATATTTTTCTTAGGATCATGGCAAAGTTGTACAAAGATGCGCACTGGTCAAGAAAGAATCTAGATGAAAAAATCAATGAGGCTAAAAGACATGTAACTAAGAGCAAACTGAATGGTTTTTCCATGGAGCGTTTGAAGTATTACAACAGGCAATTGCGACATCGGAAACAAGAAGGACAAAAAATATCCTCCATAGATCTGTGGGGTCTCCTTATTGAATATACATTGAATGACGGGGTAGAGTACTTTTTTTAATAATATGATTTGAAACTACTGGTTCTTAGGCATATTCTGTATGACTCTGAATTCTAAGAAGCCTTGCCCATTGTTTTTCTCCTGCAAGCAGATCAATGTTCGGCTGTATGGTATAGATAACATTTGCTGTTCCTAGAATCATGGACTGTAAGGATTGCAGGGTACCTTGGAGATCATCTAATCCAAACCTTGTCCAGTGCAGAAGGTGGATATCCAGTTTCTTTTTAAACACTTCCAAGAACAGATAGTCCACCAGGCAGTCTGGTCCATCGCTAAACAATTCTTACCATTAGGAAAGATTTTCTGATGTCCAAGTGAAATCTACTTCTTTATAATTTTAACCAGTTATTTTCTGTCCTGTCCTCTGGAACATGTCAATCCTTCAGATGCTTGAAAACAACTATCACATATTTCACATGGTCTTCCCTTTTTCAAACTAACTACCATATTTTTCGGAGTATAAGACGCATCAGAGTATAAGACGCACCTACCTATTTTGATGAGGAAAAGAAAAAAAAAGAAATCTCCCTCTGCCTCTGAGCAATTTTGCCTCGTTGCAGCAAACATCTAACAACTGTTTACGTTCATTTTCGTTTTCAGCATAGCTTGATTAGCACAAGGAAAAAAAATCTGCTCCAGCTATTTACCTCTTTGCAGCAAGCAGCAGAACCTGTGCAAAACAGCTGCGAGCAAATCAGCTGAGTCAGGAGGCCGATCCAATCAACTTGTGCTAATTAGGCTGTGCTGAAGTTGAAAGGAGCTGCTTTTTCTTGCGGTTTGCTTGCAAGGAGGTAACTGCTGCGAGGCAGAGGCCAAAGAGTGGGGACCAGTGGGTGGGTAGGGATACATTCGGTGTATAAGACGCACCTAAATTTTCACCCCCTTTTAGGGGGGGGAAAGGTGTGTCTTATACTCCGAAAAATACAGTATATCCAGTGCCTCCAGTCATTTCTTATGATTTTTTTTCCCTTTCAAGCTTCTTATCATCTTGTTTCTTTTACTCCAATGTATTAATATTCTTCTTATATTACATCCATATTCTAAGTGCAGTCTGACCAATGCAGAATATAGAAGAACGATGACATCTTTTGATGTTGACAACGGATGGTATTCACTTACCTTCGCTACCGGTTCACAAATGTGAGCGCACACGCTTCCTCCACACATGCGCAGAGCCTTCTGCACATGCACAGAGGGTCAAAAACGGGATGTGATGATCACGCGATCCGGATAGAACCGGCTGAATTTCACCACTGATGTTGACACTATATTTCTGTTGATGCTGCCCAGGAAGCATTTGCTTCATTCTGCTAGCTTATGTTTAATTGTAAATAACTGCAATCCATCAAGGTATACAGGTCCTTTTGGATGGATATGTAGTCTTTGTTTAGTGACTACAAGTAGTTCCAGAGAAATGTTCAATAAATGTTGCAACTGCCTTGGATAGTGACCGTTCACAAATACAGTAGTAATAAACAAGAATAAATCATTTTCTGACCGGTGCACCCATTCACATCATCATAAGCCTTCAGTGCAAAACTGATTAAGATCAGATCAGTTTCACTCAGCAGCTGTTGGGGGGGGTTTAATCAGTTAATCAAGGTCACAGAGCAGAGCACAGGTCAGGCACAGGTCTCTTTATGAGAGAGTTTTAACTGAATGAGACAGGTAGCCAGGGCAGTTGCTAAATGAGGACCACCTATACTGCTCAATGCTGCCTCTCTGATTTTCCTACTCAGTTGTAGGACTTTGCATTTGTCCCTATTGACATGCTAATTTTTGCTCACAGTTTGGCATTCTTAGTGTCTTCTTGAAATTTAATGCCACCCTTATGGTCTTTTCTGTTTTATTTCTGTTTGTCTGTAAATTTGATAATCCTGTTATCTAATCCCTCATATAAGTAATTCATAAATATGTTGAGCAGTACAGAAATTAGAAAGTCAAAGGACAAGAAATCAAGGACAAAATAGAAAGAAAAGAAATACAAAGTGCAAGAAAAAAATATTTAAAGAAGTGACTCCCAGTTTCCATGCAACAAGTACAGACAAATATAATATTTCCCCACTCCCTATAAATTTCATATACTTCACCACTTCCCATAACACTCCCTCCATTTGCAAATTCAAAAATTGTTATCATTTTAGTCCAAATGTTGACAAAAAATCCATAAATTTAAAGTATCTCCAAAATTTTTATAGAAATATTTCTTATTTTAACCCTGATCAAACAAGTGATTTTATATTAATTTTCTTCTAACAATCATGGTCTTTAAACCATTGTGTAGCTACTGTAGGATTGAATCTCCATCTCAAAAATTTCATCCTGGCTTTAGAAACTGTCTTTTGTAAGTCCAGTAATAGGCCTTTGCCCAGGTCATCTCTAGGCTAATCATTTGTATTTCCACTGTCATATCTGTCATTTCCACTGTTTTATAATCCACAATTTCTTTATTTTCCATTGTTTCCATTAGTTTGACTTTGTTTCTCCTCTTCATCCTGTTGGTCTTCTATCTATCTATCTATCTATCTATCTATCTATCTATCTATCCACCATACATTATTCTCTTTCACTTCTTTTTTTCCTTTACAGTCTTTTTTAAAACTGCATTTTGAAATACAGAGTTTATTGTTGCACTTGAGCTATAAATTCCTTCCCCAATTCTTCAAATATCCTTTGAAATGTCTTATGTATCATACTGTTATCTGTCATTTTATAAATTTCATTGCTCTTCTTTTAGTTCATTAATCCCTCCCCCCAGTGGTGGGATTCAAGTAATTTAACAACGGTTCTCTGCCCTAATGATTTCTACCAACAACCAGTTCACCAAACAGCTCAGAAAGTTAACAACCGGTTCTCCCAAAGTAGTGCAAACTGGCTGAATCCCACCACTGCCTCCCCACCCCCACTCAGGTTTCTTTATTTTTAAATTTTAAACCAATCATCTCTTTCTTGATAGATTAAACAAGTTGTGTTTACATGAAGATAATAATTTGTTTATTTCAAAATTTAGCAAAAATCCTAATATTCTAAAATAATCTGGTCTCTTAATACATTTATATCTTTCTTGAATTAAATTCTTATTTAGCTTTTTGCCATTTATTTTACATTCTTGAAGCTCTCTATTGCAATGAAGATTTACTCAGCAGATAGTTTTCTAAACTTGTTGATTGAAAGACCTCTTGTAACTTTAAAATGGTTAGAAAGCCAATAATGCTTAAATGCTCCACCAGGGTTGAGAGCTTTGTAGCTTCTCCCAGCATTCTAGCCCATGGGTTGACTGCTGTCCTGATGTCTCCTTGCAAGGAGCTGCTGTCTGAAGCACAAGCCCATATTGTCGTCTCCCCTCCTTCAGCAACATCTGGTTCAATTTTCTCATAGAATTGTTCCATTCTATGCTTTGAAGATTAAGATTACAGGGTATTCCAGTGGCATTTCTCTTGGAAACCTAATTAATATTTGGATGTCAACATTTGCAACATAAACAATTTCAGAACAGGTTATATATACTTTTATTACAAAAAAATAATTTATTTTCTATCATTAATTGGTTTTATATTTCCTTTTAAAATACAGAAAGACAACCATAAACTTTCTGATCAACAACAAGCAGTGAATGAGGGGCAGAATCCTTTCCCTATTTACACTGCCATCAATGTAAAGGAGAAGTACAGCTGTATCGATTTCAAGGGTAATACCAAATTTAAAGTGGCAATACCAAGAGATCTTTGATTAGCTAGATATAGATTTCTTGATACTTTGATGAAACAGGCAGGGAAAATAAATTGCATATTAGTAATCTCAGATTGAAAGCCACCTCCTGGCCCTTGGATGCAAATGTGTCTTAGTATATTAAATCCAAAGAAAGTATGGTCATGGGCATTTTAATGATTCATTGTAATATTTTATTGCTTGTTTATAGTTTTACTGTTACACTGTGGATCTTTTAATTTTTGTTTACAAGCCTCCATGACTGTGATGACGTATAAATCCAATAAATAATAAATGATGACTATGATAAATAGCAATAGTACTTAGACTTATATACTGCTTCACAGCCCTCTCTAACCGGTTTCCAGAGTCAGCATATTGCCCCCAATAATCTGGGTTCTCATTTTACCCACCTCAGAAGGATGGAAGGATGAGTCAACCTTGAGCCTGGTGAGATTTGAACTGCCAAATTGCAGGCAGCTGGTAGTCAGCAGAAGTAGCCTCTAACCACTGCGCCACCACGGCTCTTCATATATATACTGATAATGTAGACATAGTTTTATAATAATACACAAGATTAGTCTAATAGTCTGAAATCCTCAGCTGGAGTCTGCTGTACTTGTTTAATCCAGGCTAAGAAATAGAGGCTGGTGCACAATTGCTCAGTAGATGGTCAGTGATGAGACTGCTTTTGCATTTGGGGCATCCCAGTTTTAGAACCAAATAAAATATGACATTGTGTTATTAATCCTTACATCTTTAATTGAATAAATAGCAGCTGCAAAAATAATAAATAGCAGTTTATAGCTGGGCCATGTCTCTTCCATGCTCCCAAATAAATATTTAAGACCACACAATTACTTGTGTTATTACATTTAAATCTGTCATGTCTCTATCCTTTTGACTGTATGTACGCACCCATACTGTTGGCAAACATTAAAACAGGTTTTTCACCGATGTCGGGTGTTTTTTCAACCTATGGCCTATGGCCTTGAGTTTTCTTACATTTTTAGATTGAATTTTTGAACCAATACAAATAACAGCAATTCAGAATGAACCTCATATATGCCACATCATTTAAGCCTTTATTAAAGAAAAACACTATAATTAAAACAGAATAAACAATATTAACAAAAAAGGGGAGGAAAAACACAGAAAAGTTCAGGGGGAAAAAACCCTGTTGTTATATGCAGATACCTGATCTTACCTAATACAGGAGATAATGTACCAAGGAAGATCTTGCTTTTATTTGTGTGACTGTAATTTTTTTTATAGAATGGATGGAATTCACACCTTATGAAGTGGGAATACTAAAATACGGAGCTTTTGTTCGGACTGAAGATTTTGGTAGTGAATTCTTTATGGGGCATCTAATGAAAAAGCTACCAGAGACTCGGATGTCTTATTTGCAAGGTAACAAATGACAGGTTTGTACTTTATAGTAAACTAACAATTTTAATTTAAAAAGTAAAACATAGTTGAAAATTGGAATGTACTGTAATTCCATCCAAATATTCAATAATAATCATTATACAACTGTTCAAGTGAGTCTTAACATAAAGCAAATGCTCACATGAAGTTTTCACATTCATATTAAGAAGACATCTTAATGAGTGGCTCAAAGTCACAAAATAGAGTGTGAGCTTTTCAGTTCTACAGAACTCTTCCTCAACCAAGATAAAACACCCATCAATAACTACAATGATCGCAGTAGTATCTGGAGGAAATATGTAGTGGTATATTAAGGAAATATTAGTAAACCGCACACAGAATTAAAAAGAGAAAATAATTTGATTGTACCGTGATAGTTTTCTACTGGCTCCAAGAATTGCTTAATGATTACTGAGATGGGAAAGGAAACCAAAAAAATACATTTTTGTACATTCTTCTGGGCAGGCATGTGGAGCAGCTTATTTTCCTTTAATCTGCTGTATATCTGGAATATAAGTCACAGTTCCGAGGATTTTTGGCACAAATGGACTCAAGATCAAATTGTAAATATTGGTAGGTTGTTCTCATACCACTCTTATTTCTTGTTACTAATGGAGTTTTTTTGGGTGTGTGTGTGTGTGTATAATATTTGGTTTATTCAGAGAAAGTTAAAATACAAACTGCCCCAAAAAATTTAAAAAGACAAAAGAATAAAAAAACACAGCAAACAAGACATTAAAAAGAAAAAGTGTCTTTTAAAAAAGACTAACACATATACACATAATATCTTCCCTAGTTAAATGCTGATTAATGTAATTCAGCAGTGTTAATTTCCTACCCCTTGCAAAACAGGCCAAAAAACATTTGAAAATGTTTACAGATTGTTAACCTGTCATCTATATACTACATTAATAACAATGAATATAGCAATAACAATAACAAACTAAATAATAAACATATTATATAAAAATATAAAAATAATACAAATTATTAATAATCATAAAAGAAAGGCAAAATTGAAATTCCAGTGTCCTCTGTTAACAAACTGTTTTTGTAATCCACTCATAGAAAATTTACCATGGCTTCAATCCCAAATCATCCCAAATATTAACCCTACTTGGTTTCGGATCAAATATCCCAATTTGTTTCTTAATACCATCTCTTATCAACTGCTGATTGGTTGAATACAATAAGTATGTTACTGATGTTTTTAAACCATATGTATACAATACAGAAAAAAACCCTCAGAAACCATAAAATATTGCACTGATAAAGGAATTTTCAATTCCTATGACATATAATTTACTGCATAATTAGGTAAATGAAATAGTCCATAGTTGAACAAGGCTTATTTTTAAAATTGGTGCTACCATCACATTGAATTTATTTTCTTCTTGATGATTAAATATTTACATAAATTACAGTAGTCCTCGATATATGACCACAATGGAGCCCAAAATTTCTGTTGCTAAGAAAGAGAAAGACAGTTTTGCTCCATTTTCTTGCCACAGTTATTAAGTGAATCACTGCAGTTAGTAACTTAGTTACATGGTTGTTAAGTGAATCTGGCTTTCCCATTGACTATCTTCATCAGAAGGTCACAAAAGGTGATCACATGACCCCAGCACATTGCAACCATCATAAATACATGCCAGTTGCCAAGCATCCAAATTCTGATCACCCGATGGGGAGGCTGCAAGTGTTGCAGGTGTGAAAAGGGATCAGAAGTCACTTTTTTCTGTGCCATTGTAACTTTGGACAGTCACTAAACGAATGTTTGTAGGTCGAGGACTATCTTTACTTTTGCAAAGGATTAAAAATCTAACCCAAATGTAGACAAATAACATGTTTCTTTCATCATAATTTCTTTTCTGTAGATGAAGAGCCTCATTTAACTATGGAAACACATGAGCAGAAGACACATCTCTACACCCCAGCTGGACCGCTATCCTATGCTTTTAGAGATGTCCTAACAGATCGCTTATCAGTTGCCCAATACCACAATTTCATCAAAGGTCTCCAGCTAGACAATCGTTACCTTGAGAATGAAAACTTCTGTAGATGGAAAGGTAATTTCATTGGTTTCTTAAATGAGTATTTTAATCCAAGAATAGATTCAGTAAATTAGCTGAACTTCCATGATGTCTAAAAGTTAAGCAGGGCTGGGCCCAGTTAGTACTTTAAATTAGAAACTCCTGAAAATAGCAAGTGGCTATTCACCAGGAAGGTGAAAATAAATATTCAGAAAGATGGCAATAGCAGAGCACTTCTGCATTGTTGACATGAAATCACAATTTGTGTGTTGGTGAAGCTTTCATGCCTTAAGCCACAGTAGCTGCAGGTAGGCCTTGACTTACAACAATTCATTTAGTGACTGTTCAAAATTAACAATGGCACTGAAAAAAGTGACTTAATGAACATATTTTTCACATTTACGACCATTGCAGCATCCCCATGGTCATATGATCAAAATTCAGATGCTTGACTCGTGTTTATGTTGGTTGCAGTGTCCATGGGTCGTATTTTATGTATTGTATCATATGTTACCTTTTGTAACCTTTTGACTAGCAAAGTCAATGGGGAAGCTAGATTCACTTAGCAAACATGTTATTAATTTAGCAACAGTAGTGTTTCACTTAACAACTGTGACAAGAAAAGTCGTAAAATGGGGCAAAATTCACTTAATAACTGTCTCACTTAGCAACAGACATTTTGGGATCAATTGTGGTCATAAATCAAGGATTACCTATATAGATTAAATGGGCCATAGCATGACTCTGCCTTTAATCAGGATCAACATATATATTTTCAGTTCACTCTGAAGCTGAAAAAACAAGTGAACTGAAAATATATATGTTCAACTTTAAAGCTAAAATAACAAGTAAAGTATTTCTGGTTTAGTTATGCCCCAAACACACATACATGGTGAGATTCATGTACCACAGAGTATAAAATCCAAATTATTATTTAAATAAATAATCTGCATGTCTTTTCAAGCAGCAGATTCCAGCAATTCAGTACACATAAGGGCTGCTTGAAAATCTAATCAGAACCAACTTTTCATTTGTGGCAAGTAGGTTGCATGGATTTTTATCCAACCTGGCAATTTTCGGACGCTGGAGGTGGGATTTGTTTGGGCAATTTCAAACCATGACACATTACAAGAATTTGAGCTTCCTCTTATTTTTTTTTAGACACTGTACTGGACTCTTCTTCACCCAACCAGTTAACACAAACAGAAGAATATTTGTCTCTGGAAGATACTGGATTCTTCATCAACACCAGCTCTGCTCCTCTGCTGAGACCAGAAAGAAAAGTGGATGTTATCCTACATTTAAATTACAGTGCAGGACCACAGTCACGGGTGAGAATTTCTTTTGAACTCTTGTTTCTTCATCCTATTTTTCAGTAGGGATTCTCTGTTTTCATTCACTTATTTTTTTTTTTTCAATATTTCAACATTTATTGAAGATTTTTTAAATAAACTGAAAACTAGACAAATACTAGAAAAGAAACAGAAAATAAGGAAGAATGGTGAATGTAAAAATAAAATAGAAAAAGAAAAAAAGGGGGGGAGAAAAGATGATAAAGAAGCAGTTTCTGATCTCTTGGACAGTGGTTATGCATTTGTATTTCACGCTCTGTCTAAAGTGACATCATACTTTCCTTCTTTCCATAAGCTATCCTTTCTAATCTTCAAACCCATAAATCACAAATTACTCGTATATAAAAACAATCTTCCATGCTCCTTTTCTAATTGACTGGCCATTGATCCCAGCAAGAAAAGTTCAGGTTTCAGTTGAATATTGATTGTTAAAACTCTTTGTACCATTGTATGAATATAAGCATTTCTGGCTTTTTTTAAAAAAGTCCACCAAATATGAAAAAAAAAAATCTCTATGTTGTCCATATTTTCTACGTAAATTTGAAGAATCTTTATGTATTCTAGATAATTTTTCTTGAGTCATATACCAATGGTATGTTTCATAACCAGTTTTCTTTAGAATACAACTTTTAAGACTAAACAGCAGGCTACAAAATTCAATTTCAAACCAGGCAATCCAAATCTCCCCATTCCTTTGCATCTTAAAATATTTTATATTTAACTCTGGGTTTTTTCCCTTGACATACAAGCTTAAATATATCTTGCTGCCATTGCTTAATGGATACATCAGTTATTATAAACGGTATTGTTTGAAGCAAAATCATTATTCTTGGCTATAGAAACTCTCCCCAACAATGACAATTGTAATTTCTCCCAATTTAACATGTCCTTCTTGATTTCATTACATGACTGAACATAATCTGGTACAACAATTATTCAATTATTCTAGTGTTGCTAGACTGCAGGGGGCAGTGCTCATCTTGGTTTCAAGGTGATTGAACCAGCACTGTCTGAAGATATTTCCATGGTCATGTGACCAACATGACATCATAGAGCGCCATTATCTTCCTATCAAAGTGGTACCTATTTATCTTCTCACATTCACATCATCTCAAACTGCTAGATTGGCAGGAGCTGGGTGAGGACAAGAGCTCATCCTGTCATATGATGCTTGGATCTCAAACCTGGGCTGCTGGCTTTCCAGCCAATAAGCCCAGTGTCTTCACTGCTGAGCCACAATGCCACCCGTTAGTCATAGTGATACACAGGTATTTCACTTTTTTCTTGATTTGAAAACCATTTTTTCAATCAATTCTGTTTGTTTTTTCCATTTTCACATTCTTTGTTAACATCTTCTTCTTTTGTTTATTAATTTTAAAACCAGCTAACTCTTCCCCCCCAAAGTTCTTTAATATTTCTTTTAATATTTCAATTCCTTCCAGTGGGTCTTCCAAAATTATCACCAGGTCACCAGCAAGCATAACTTATATATTTCTCCATATCTGCATTCCAGTAATTCTATCATCTCATCTTATATTTCTGTTCAATATTTCCAAAGATAAAATAAAAAGCAATGGTGACAAGGGACATCTCTGTCTAGTTCCTTTCTATATCTCACAGGAGTTTGTTAATTTTCCATTAACAGTTATCTGTATCTTTTGTGAGGTATAAATCAATTTTAGCCATTTGTTAAAATTCCTGTCAATGTCCATATCTTCCAAAATTTTAAACCAAAAAGTGCAGTTCAAACAGAGAAAGAGTTTTCTGCATCAAAAAAAAAAATCAATGTTCGATGCTTATTCAATACATCCGATACATTTCTGAATTTGTCCTTCAGCTGTATTTTAGGTAGATCTCCCTTCCACACTGATCTTATTGAATAAAGTTCTATAAAACTATCTTCATTCTCTCAGCTAAAATCATTGTGAGCAATTTATAATGATTATTCAGTAATGATATTGGGTGATAATTATTTTAGTGAAGTTAAGTCTTGACCTTCTGGCTGTTAATGCTATATTAGCTACCATCTGGAGACATGATGCTCACCTAGCAGTTCAAAAGCATGCAAATGCAGGTAGGTTAATAGGTACCACTTCAGTGGTAAGGTAACAGCATTCAGTGAACCTTTGGTGCATAGTCATGCTGGCCACATGACCACGGAAATTGTCTTCAGACAATGCTGGCTCCCTCAGCCAAGAAACAGAGATGAGCACCATGCTCATCTAGAGTCCAAATTTGCTTCCATAGAGGGGTTGCTTGCACGATTCTAATCTTTGTAGATGTAGACAAAGCATGGCATTTGAATATATTTTCCAAGGGTTCATGATTGTTCTATTAATACTAGTCTACAGCATATTTGTTGCCTCCTTGTTCCTTTACTGTTGATGGTTGATCCTAAAAGACAGAAGCTATCTACCACTTTGATACCTTTATTATCAGTTTCAGGGCATGTTGTTCTACCTACTGGATTGTCATTAGTTGGTCTTCTCTATAATCAATTTTAGTTTCATTTTTTCACTATGCTTATTGACATTTATTACTGGAGCTTGAAGATTTCCAGTGATAATGATAGCATCCTCATCATAACACAGATTATTGATGTTTCTTTTTCCAATTTTGTACCACACGTCTCTTGTTCTAATCCATCTTCCCGATAATATATATTCAGCATATAGGTTGAATAAAAAAAGGGGGGAGAGTATACAGTCATGTCATACTTCTTACCAAACCTGGAACCAATCTTCTTTATCATGTCCTATCAATAATGTGGCTTCCTGACTTTTATATACTGTAAGTTTCCCACGAGGACAATGAGATACTCTGGGATTTCTATTCTTCTGAGCCCTTTCCATAGCTTGACACGATTGATACAATCAAAGGCATTTCTATAATCAATGAAGTATATTGATTTATTTAGGTATTCTTTGACTTTCTCAATTATCCAGCATACATCAGCAATAATGTCTCATGTTCCTCAGTCTTGAGCTGTGGTGGCACAGTGGTTAGAATGCAGTGTTGCTGGCTAATTCAGTTCACCGCAGGGGTGGTATTCAGCTGGCTCGCACTGGTTCACGCAAACAGTTGGTGGAAATTTGGCCAAGGTTGCCGAACCGGTAGAGATGCCTCCCCCGAACCGGTCCCCCGGTCGCCACTTACTCACCCTGCCTGCCATGTTCGTTGCTGCCATATTCTTCGCACACGCACATCCCATTGCCTTGCAAATCCAATGGGATGCTCATGTGCAAAGAACATGGCGGCGGCGACAGCAGCTTTTTCTGCAATCTCCAGTACTTTTCAGCAGCCTGCAGCCTGCAGCCAGTCGCCGCAGCCGCAAAGTGGCTCTCAAAGAGGCAGCAACTGGGAGGCTTCTTTACCAGCTGCTTTCCAGCAGCAGCGGCTGGCTGATGGATGCTGAAAACTCTGGTCAGCTTGCCTTCCGGACTCTGGACCAGCTGCCACAGAAGGTAAACAGCCCAAAAAAAGAGGCGATGGTGGGGAAGAAAGTGGGGCTAGGGCCGGGCCACTAAAGGAGGGGAAACGGGGGTGACTGGCGAAGGGAGGGTGGGGGTAGATAGATGGAAATTCCCAAAAATTTCCTACCTTTTCCTGTGGGTGTGGCTAGGTGGGGGAGTCATGCGTGAGTGATGTCAAGTTGGCCATGCCCACTCAGTCACATGCCCCCCACCTAGCCATGCCCACTGAACTGGTAGTGAAAATTTTTGAAACCCACCATTGGTTCACTGCTAGGAGTTTGCTCCTCACCAGGCTCAAGGTTGATTCAGCCTTCCATCCTTCCAAGGTTGGTAAAATGATGACCCAGATTGACCCAGATAGGGGCAGTATACTGACTCTGTAAACCACTTAGAGTGGGCTGTAAAGCACTATGAAGCAGTGTATAAGTCTAAGTGCTATTGCTATTATATTTACTTTTTTTTTAATCTAGCCCCTGCAGCAATCATGCAACTACTATGCAGCTCAAGGAATCCCATTTCCCAAAGCTGTCCTGAAGGATGATGACAAACATCTGAAGGAATGCTATTTATTTGAAGATGCTGAGAATCCAGCAGCACCAATATTATTGTTTTTCCCACAAGTTAATGATACTTTTCGCTACTATAAAGCCCCAGGTAAGTTCAATGTTGTAATTATTTTTTATTATTAATGTAGCCCAGCAAGGTTATTAATGTACACACTACATTGCTAGTGTAGCAATGATTAAGAGTGATGAAACAAACAAAAAAATGCTATATAAAATATCATATTTTGAAACATAGTTGTTTTGTCAAACATGTTGACATGTTTTGTCAAACATGTCAAACATGTTGACTTTGACCCATAATCCAGCATTCTAACTCAAGCACCTTAAGATTAGTTTGAATATGAATATTATTCATTATTCATTATTCATGGAATCAAAAGGAACACAAAGAGAAATGGGATGGAGAAAGGTGCACAGAGCCTCTATTTTAGATCATGTTCTTTTCTTTTGCAAAACATCTTCTAAAAACCAAAAATCCCAAAGCCTCCTGAAATATCCACATGTAACTGTACACTGAAAGACATCTCCGTCTCTCTCTCTCTCTCCCTCCCTCCCTCTCTCCCTCTCCCTCTTTCTCTCATCCATCTAACAAAATACATACATAAATCCTGTTTTCAAAACACTCTTTTGAAAAAGACAATTCTCATATTATATTAACAATAATCAGTAAAAGTCTAAAATAGAATGGCCTCAAATTGCTATTCCAAGTAGATGCAGTACTTCTATCTATATCCCTAGTCCAGAGATCTTCAAACTTGGCCACTTTAAGACTTGTGGACTTCAACTCCCAGAATTGAAGCCAGCTATGCTGGCTGGAGAATTCTGGGAGTTGAAGTCCACAAGTCTTAAAGCGGCCAAGTTTGAAGACCTCTGCCCTGGTCGACACTGATGATAATCTGATTTAAATAAAATCCATCTTTAAAAAAACTTTATTAGAAAACACAGGCTGTATTGTCATTGTGTACAGACCTGCCTCTTCTCCATTTCAAGAGTGCTTGCACGCTCAAATGAACTTTGGGCCCTTGGTTCTTTCTGAGCTTACTTGCTTTGTTTATTTGTTTTTGTAAAAGTTTCATTACCAAGCTAGATAACATCAGTACTAGTAGCTACCCCATTCCCTACTAACACTGATTATATTACCTAGTTTTGTACTGAAATGTCTGCAAGAAAGCAACTAAGCTCAGAGAGCACCAAGGACTCCACAGTTCAACCCTGAGTACAAATAATTCTTTTCTATATGTATCAAATGAACTTCTAACAAAAATCTAAATTGTCTTTATAGTAAGTTTTAGTTTGGGCAACTTATATTTCAATTCTCTCCCCTCCCCCCCCCTTTTTTTTTAGGTGTCAAACGCTCTGAGTCAGAAATGAAATATGGTGAGGTTGACATCTCCAGTAACAGCACTCCATATTCAACATACTCAATGACATTCACTGAGGAAGAATATGATCAGCTGATAGAACTGAGTGAATACAATGTTCTAAATAACCAACATCTGATCCTGCAGGCACTGGATAGGGCAGTGGAACGGAAAAAACATCCTTAAGAAATAATCAATTTCTCTGTGTCCCTGTGCAGAATGTGAGGTGGAATAGAATAGAACAGAATAGAATCCTTTATTGGCCAAGTGTGATTGGATACATGTAGTTGTGCATATGTTAAGAATTCAGGAATCTAAGCCAACTCCATTTTGACTCCAACAAGAAACTGCCTGAGGTCCTCCTTTCCTACTTTTTTTCAGGAATAGTTAGTGGTGCAAGTCAATGTATCAGACTTCTACAAACAAGAATCTGTCTGATCAATTTCCTTATTTTGAGGTATCATTAGTATAATACTGTGCTCTTTATGATGTAGATACCAGTTCTGAGCTTTATGTCTAAGTTTGTTGCTACCATGGGGTAAATTAGAAGCTGTCTTCAATAATCACTCTTGATGCTTATAGCACATTACTCAGATATAAGACACCCTTCATCTGAAATGGAAATTCAGAAAAAGTTATTTATACTACCAAGTTTCAAAGATCAAGGACATCTGATTAACAGCATGCTACACAATTATCCATCCTATGTGATACACAATTTTTTTTTTTAATTTGATTTATATGCCGCCCTTCTCCGGAGACTCAGGGCGGCTTACAATGCATTAAGCAATAGCCTTCATACTTTTGTATATTTATACAAAGTCATCTTATTGCCCCCACAAACTGGGTCCTCAATTACTAGAAAGGTAAGATATTAAATGTTTTTATAAATAAAAAAATTGTTCCGAGTCCCAGTGTTATTTTATGAAATAATCCTCTATTTCCTTAAAGATTTGGCATGCAATCCTTGTAATCTTAAAGCAGGAGTTCCCAAACTTCATAATACTGTGAGTCTCTACAATGAGAAAACGAAACTCAACAAAATTACTAATTTTCTTGTGATTACAGTGGATTAAAAATACCACTTTTAATCATTAATGTTTGATACTTTCTGTATCAAATAAATAATAGAAATGTACAACTGTATTTATAAAATACTGTGTCAATGTTTAAAAATATTAGAAATAAGCAAAGAAAAATAATAAGCCACATTTTTAATGGGATGGGTGAACCTGCGTACTTTTGCATAATCCCTGAAATCTGAATTTCATTTTAAAGATGCTCTCATTCACAAAAGTCAGGGTTGGGGAAGAAATGTATATTTCCTTGGCTGAAATCAGTTTTTTTTTCCTCTTTAAATGATGGAGTTTACAAAACTTCCACAAGCTGTAAGTTGTTTTGGTAGATAGGCAGTGGATAGGAAGTAATACCAATAAAGGAGAATATTTGCAGCTCAGAGTTGAAGGGAGGGGTCCTTGGTGCTCCCTGAGCTTGGTTGTTTTCTTGCAGATGTTTCATTACCCATCAGAACTGATGATGTTACCTAGTTTGGGTAATGAAACATCTGCAAGAAAACAACCAAGCTCAGAGAGCACCAATGACCTCTCATAGTCAGTAATGGCAGAATATAGCAGCAGCTTCATCTTGGCCATGTTGTGCAGGGCAGCCAAAGGCAGAGATGGAGTGTGGGGCAGAAGGAAGATAGGCAGGTGGGAGGAATTCATATAGAACTAAAGAAGTAAGTCAACGTCTTGTTGTTGGATTAGTTCTCTGCTTATATACAAGCAATGTGTTGACTCATTTCCAGCACTGATGATGTTACCTAGCTGGGTGATGAAACATTTGCAAGAAAACAGCCAAGTTCAGAAAGCAGTAAGGACCCTACACCTCTCTTGAAGTGCTGAGTTCTTAAAAAGCTGAGCTGCCATTTATGTTTAAGGCTCAGCCCCATCATCTGAGAATACATGAACATGCACCAAAGATATTCCCCCATGATTACTTCAGAAGCAAAGGAGCTGCTTCCGGTCAGATATAGTTTGTTTGAGCTATTTCATAGGGAAGACAGATTAAAATAACTGGAGCCTTTCATATACCTCACAATGTGTCTCACTTCTTGAGGAAAGCAACAAGTCACTTGATGACTTATTTATCTCAGTAGAAGCAACACTTGCCTCAAGAAAGAAGAATATTTGTACTGACTCCATTGTAGAGCAATTAAACTTCCTTTGTGGCTGGGAGGCGGGAAGGTTGAAATAGTGTTAGACAGGAAACTGATAATCGAGACTTCTGCTTTTCTGTTTGGCAATATGCTACTTGTGACAAAAGTGAACATGAAATTATTAGCGTAACATAAATGCAAGTGAAGATAGTTTTTCAGACCAGTGCCAAAATGTTGAAAAGATTTCCCTGTTGTTCTGTAACAACTCCAAATGTCAAAATGTGTATATTTAAGCAACTATTAAAGTTGGAAAAATATAGATGGAAGCTGAAGTTCTCCTTTTGGAGAAGTCAGAAAAAGAGGATTTTTCAGTTACTCAAGGAATAGCCTTTTAGAAATTATTTTCTGAGTTCTACAAATCACACAATCAGTATGCAGTATCAGTAAGATAATATAATGCCCAATGTTTAGGTCATGATCATAGAAGATGTTAAACCATACTGTTTGGTTAATACAAACATTAATACGGTAATGAAACATAGGCAGAGCTCAGAGAACAACACAACACACCAATCATAAGCTACATGTACCTCTCTGGTGCTTTAATACAAACACACATGTACTTTTATCTTACCTCCTCCACCAGCTTGTGCGGCACTGCAGTTAAAAAAAGTTGTGGCTTAACCATAGCTAATAAGCATGTTGTCCAAATCTGAAGTGACTGCTTTTTGTCATGAACTATATATGAAAGCTATATCTAACTGTAAAAAGGTAAAGATAAAGGTTTCCCTGTCAAGAAACTCTAGGACACGGTGCTCATATCCATTTCTTGGCTAAGGGAGCTAGCTTTGTCCAGACAATTTTTGTGGTCATGTGGCCAGCATTGCTATGCGCCAAAGGTGCACAGAATGCTGTTACCTACCCACCAAAGTGGTACCTTTAAATCTATTTGCATTTGCATGCTTTTGAACTGCTGGGTAGACCTCTAACTATACTTGAATATCCTTATTATCTAAGTTTTCAAACTAATACGGGCTAAAAGCTTGGACAGGAAAGGAACAGAATAGACCAGAGTATATTATCCAGAGACAGGAGCTATGCTATGCTATGCTATGCTATGCTATGCTATGCTATGCTATGCTATGCTATGCTAATAATTTATTTAAATTTATCATCCATCTACTCTGGTAAAAACCAGGATTGCCTACAAAAAGTTATAAAACATACAACTACATAGACAGATCTGACTGAGACAAACATCATCATAATAAAAAATTCCAACAGGGTCCCCACACTAAGATAGATAGATAGATAGATAGATAGATAGATAGATAGATAGATAGATAGATAGATAGATAGATAGGCAGGCAGGCAGGCAGGCAGGCAGGCAGGCAGGCAGGCAGGCAGGCAGGCAGACAGACAGACAGACGAGAGGGAGAGAGGGGGGGGGAGGGAGGGAGGGGGGAGGGAGGGAGGGAGAGAGAGAATAAGAACTCTGGGTCCTGCTGTTTATTTTTTTTTATGTATTCTTAAATGAATACCCTACCTTTATCTATTGCATAAAGATGTAAGATGACTTCTTGAATGCTAAATCTCAGTATAAAAGGCAGGAATGATAATGATATATTTAAATATGTTAAATATAGCATATGTGTCTTAAAAACCTATTTAAAATCTGTTAAATAGACACCTTCTGTCTATTTAACACATTACCCAATACTGCAGAATCTTCACAAAGGCTGATGAAAGTTATGCAACTGCAATGGAATGGGTTAAGAAAGGCGGAACTACATGAATTGAAAGCAATTTTCCAGGTTTACACAAACCTCTTTTTCATCCCCATGAAAAGATATCAAGAAATCTTTTGCATGTCAACTATGTACACTACTGCTCTTTCATTATGCTTATAATTACATATTTCACAATACCACAGACTGTTAAATTAATTAAACATTACAGTATGGGAGGGTATGATGTGCGTGAGAGATTAAATATGACATTTTGTAGTTATGGGAAAGCAATCAACCTAAATAAATTGAAATCATCCGGAATATATCTCAAACAATAACACAGTAGATTTAAGATTTAGAACATGTGGGATTGACTACAAAACGGTGATCCAAAGCTGTAGATCTGGCTGCCAATTTTTGGACACCCACTAGAGCAGTGGTCACCAACTGGTGGTGCGTGGACCACTGGTGGTCCACAAGAAAATTTTGGTGGTCCGCAGAAAACTTATTTGCATTTTTTATATTGCGCTAAATATTATTTATCTTTTTAAAAAAATCATATTACTGGTCCGCAGGATTTAAAATTATCAATTTAGTGGTCCCTGAGGTCCGAAAGATTGGTGACCCCTTCACTAGAGTGCAATAAAGACATAACTAGTAGGTACAAAGGAAGAATCATCATAATTTATTTTATGATAACTCAGGTGATCATATCTGAGCTGCAAAATGCAGCAATGTCGGAAGTTATGGTCATGTTAAATCTCTGCTCCACAAGCTGCGTTAGTTACCAGTTTGTTTCCAGGTCCAATTCGAGATGCTGGTGAGGACTTAGAAAAACCTGTATGGCATGGAGCCAAGTTATTTGAGTGACCACCTCACCCAGGGGCTTCGACCCATCCCATCAGATCCAGCAGAAGAAACTTCTTTCATCCACTAGAGAATGCCATCTGATGGACCCAAGAGGAGGGCCTTTTCACCTACTATGGAACATCATCCTGCTCCCCCTCCCAGAGGTCAGGCTGGCCCTGATTTTTCTGGTCTTCTAGAATGGCACAAAGACCTCGTTTCCGGTCTGGCTTGGAGATCAGAAATTGATGTGGAGCTGCGCTGTTTGTGAATGTCTGTGGTCTCCTGGTGATTCTATAGTGTGCTTTTAATTGTTTTTAATGTTTGTATTGTTTATATTGTTATTTTTTCTTAATTGCAAAGGGGTGATTAAAATGCTGATTTTGGGAAGTTCAAACAGACTAAGGGCCCAGATAGGTTTGAAATAAGATTTTAAAATGGAATTTCTGGGTATACAAGCTTAGAAATAAAAGAATAATTGGATAATCTCTGTAACCGAACCTTTAACAACCATAATTATGACAAGTCAAAATGAATATTAATATTCAGAATTGTCTTCTTTCTCTTTATTGCAAGCAAGAAAATGATTACAAGAAACTGTGTAATCAAAGTACTTAGTTTCCTAAAACAACTTCCTTGATGGAATATTTTTCTAGAACTCATGGTAATTAAAAGTAAATGGCAGGAAGAAAACAATCCTAATTAGTAAGTCATTCAAGAAAAGTTGTATCCCACTGGATTTCCTACAAATTAACTTTATTAAATTTCAGCCAACTGATTGTGGAATGATAGTTGGTTTTAAATAACAAAATGGAATAAATGTATTGGGAACTGCTGTCCTTTTTGGACAGCAAAATGTCCTTTCAAAATGTGATCCATACTTTCATAGTGCTGCATGAATATGCTGCATTGAATCAAAACAGCTAAGAGATGATGATGATGATGATGATGATGATGATGATGATGATGATGATAACAACAACAACAACAATAACAACAACAACAACTTGGTTGATACCTAGGACGCTGGCAGCAACCCGTAACAACCATTAGCACCAGTCAATGGTATTTGTAACACATTTTTAAATGTTCAGTTGACTAGTTTCATGTTTAATGAATAAAAGATAATATTATATTAATTATATAATTAATTA